ACTACAGCCGCGTGGGCACTGCCTCCGCTCGGCTCCGCAGGCGGCAGCTCAGCGCAGAGGCGCTGGCACCATCCGTGGGTCGAGGACGTGGCTTCTCGGCAGGGCTGCGCAGGGCTGGCTCCGGCAGCTCGTCCCCCGGCAGGACCAGGCTGGTCCTCCCCTACCCACCGGCGGGGCGCAGGTGGCAGCGGGTCGGCGGCACCGCAGAGCCGACAGACGAAGCCCTGCGGCCACGGGGGCCCTTCCACATGCCCGCTGGGGCCAGGAGCAGGACCACTGGGCTGGGGGCACCCGTCCGTGCCCGCTGCCCCAAGGGAAGGCGCCAGCCCCAAGGGAAGGTGCCAGCCCGAGCTGCGGAGGGGCCGCAGCCAGCGGTGCTCCGGATCTCCCGCAGCCTCTGCGGTGATGGAAGAGAGACTTCACACTGCGCCCCAGAGAAAAGATAGCGGTACCTATAAATGGTATTGTGCTGTTGGTTAGATGGTAGCATGATGTTACTTAATTAATGTTTTAATACCCTAGGCATCTTCTGTGCCGTATAATTCATATCGATTCAGCTGTGAGCATGTTCAGTTAAAAAGACTCTCTTTCCTAAGCAAACTTTCAATTATATTGAATTGTCACAGCGAAAAAGGGCCTTTTTTCAGCATGGGGGAGGGGATTCTCTGCCAAACGGCTGCCAGCCGGGCCGGGCACACACATGCACACAAGCACGGTGCCCACAGCCTCCTGACCCAGCGCTTCCAGCCTCCCTGAGCCACCGGTGCCAGCCCCAGCGATGCCGCGCTGCTGGATGTCACCGTCCCCGGTCCGTGGGTTTCCTCCTGCGTGTGTCCAGCAGAGCAGCCTGTCCCCTCCAGCGGCTGCTGGGCTGGCAGCAGTGAGGGCTGGCCCCAGCCCTGTGCCACTGCCTGCCACCAGCCCGGGCGCCTGGGAGGATGCACGGCGAGAAGCAGCTCTTGCAGAGCCCCGGCAGGGCTGGCCGGGTGCTGGCTGCAGCCAGCAGTTCTTTGCCCCGTGGCCGGGCCCTGTCCTCACCGTGTGCAGGGCCAGGCTGCGGACCCCCGGCTGCCCGCGCCGCAGCACGGGGACGAGGGGCCGTGGGTCAGCGGGGGCCTTGCTGCTCCCCATCCAGCTCGCGCTGCCCCAGCCAGCCCGCTGCCGTGGCAGGGAGCCGGGCAGGGACTGAAGGATGGGCTGGAGCTTGCGTGGGTTTAAGTCATGGCTTTGGGGATCGCTGGTGTTGGCTGAACTTTTGCTGATTTGGTCTCTGTGCCCCATTGTGCGGGGCCCTGCGCGCCTGGGGCAGGCGGGCCTCCTGGGGAGGGCATTCCCAGTTGCTTCCCCCCTTCCCACAGGTTTCCGGGAGCACCCTCCAACGCGCTCGTGTCTCCAGAGGTGGTGGGTCTCGGCTGAAAGCAGGTCAGTGGGGGGGTAAACCCTGCCGCGGCCAAGGCACAGGACGGCTCCCAAGCACCTCCTGATGCCACGGCGCTGGCGAGCCGGGCACACCAGGGGTTGAAGGGAGGTTAAAGCCAAATCAGAATTGACAGAAAATTATTAGCAGGGCAGAGACAAGGAAAAGCCCCCCCTTCCTCCCGTAATCAGGTTAATGTGTGCATGGAATGCC